GGGGCCGCCCCTCGCGAGCGCCGGCATGTTGGTGCCAGGAGCGGCGCACCCGCATCCACTTGCACTTCCCCGCACTGGCACATTCGCCCTCACGGACATCCACACACACACACACACACACACACACACACACACACACCTCTGGGATGACAGCGCCGTAAGTTGGGCAACAGGAACGCGGCGCCCTCGCGCCCGGGGAAAACCTCCGCACACCGCCCACCCCAGGGGGGCGGAACTCGAAACACCAGGCGGCCAGACACCCGCCGCCAGCAAACGCCACGCAAAATGCCCACACCTCCACATGCGGGCCCTGGCGCACAAAACGGAGAGGGGGGAAAGAGTGGACGCCATCTCTCGGACAACTGTCTCTATTTGGGGAGCGGTGGCGCCCTCCACCCCCCGGCGGCGCGGCTGCGGCGGCCGGGAGGGGGGGGGACAAAATACACAGAGAGCATGGTGGGGGAGAGAGAAGTGCGCGCACGCGTGCTTGGGGGAGAGGGAAGGGGGGATGTGTGTTTGTGTGTGTGTGTTCGTGCGTGCGCAGGCAGGCAGGGAGAGAGAGAGAGATGGAGGGAGGGGGGAGGGGCCGAAGGGCGACGGGAAAGGCAGCGTATGCGTCCCCCCCGGTCAGCCACGCCCACCCGCGCCCCCTGCCACTCACTCGCCCCCGCGGGCCGACTCATTTAGAGGGGCTGGGAGAGGGCGTTGTGGATCTTGTTGACCTGGCTGGAGACGGACAGATCGACAGAGGACTCGCCAACACGGACGACGAAGCCACCGAGGATGGAGGGGTTGATCTCGGTCACCAGGCGGATGGTCTGCTTGGGCTGGATGAACTTCTTCTTGACGATGGCCTCGATCTGAGCGCGGACCTTGGCGTCGAGCTCCTGTTGTCGTGACAGGGGGGGAGGGGGGAAGCCCCGGCGGAGGGGGGAGAGGAGAAGGGTGGGTCAGAGGGAGGGGAGGAGGGCCCAGGGGGGAGGAGAGCCCCGGCGAGGCGAGGCGCGGCCGGAGGGCAGCACCGGGCGCGCGCAGGCAGGAAAGGGCCGACGAGGGGCGAAAGAACGCACATGGGCGGAGGTGATGACAACCTCGACCTCGTTGCGGTGGGCGGCCATGATCTCCTCGAAGGCGCCGATGACCTTGGACATGTCGGACAGACGACCGTTCTCGGCCATGACGGTCAGCAGGTTGGCGGTCTGGGGCTGGACCTTGAGCTTGGAAGCAACATCCTTGGCCTGCGGTGGGGGGGGGGCGGGGGCGGGGGAGGCGTGCGCGCCCGAAGGGAGAGGGCGGTAAGTTGGCCATTCAGGCGCGGAAGAGGGGGCACACACGTGTGTGTGCATGCGCGAGAGAGGCGGGGGAGGCAGCATGGCTATATGTATGAGCGTGCGGGGGTGTCTGTGTCTGTGTCTGTGTGTGTGTGTGATGTACGCACACCCTCAACCTTGAGCTTGGTGGAGTAGAGGGGGGAAGCGAAGAAGGTGCTGAGGTGCTTGTCGGTGGACAGGGCAGACTTGAGGGACTGCAGGCGGGCCGGGGGGAATGTCAGAAAAGCCGAGCGCCGGCAACAGTGGCAAAACACCAGGCAGGCTTGTGACCATGCGCGCGCGGCTCTGCTGACGAACCTTGATGTCCTCCTCAACCTTGGGCAGGGTGTTGGACTTGACCGAGGCGGTGTAGAAAGCGGTGGCGTAGCGACCCTCCAGGCTGAACAGGCGCAGGGGGACCTGAACGGAGGCCTGGGTGGCGTAGCGGCGGACGACCTGCGGGCGGGGGGGGGCGGGGGGCGGGGGTGCGTGCGCGCGTGGGCGGGCGAATGGGAGGCCAGTTAGCTGCCGAGCAGGGCGGGGCAGGAGCGGGGAGGCGAGCGAGTCCAGAAGGTCGGGCGAGGGGTGGAGGGGGAGCAAGAGGAGCACAGGAGGCGCCCAGCCAGCCGCCGAAAGAGCCGGGGCGTGGCGAAGGTGCCCAATCGTGCGCGCGCGCGCATTGCCACCCATGCGCATTGCTGCCGCGGTGTCGGCCCTGGTCCCGGGTAGGAGCCGGCCAAAGAGGCATCCCCCGGCCACAGAGGTGGACACCGAGCCGGGGGACGAGGGAGGCTGCCTGGCCCCGGGAGGCGGAGACATGGGGTCGAGGGGGGGCACGCGCGCGCGCGCGCACGCTCGCGTACGCAGCGCAAAATACGACAGACGGTGCGGGCGCGCGGGGTCCAGGGCGAAATGGCGGCGGGCGAGAGGCAGCGAACAGGGAGGGGGCATGCGAAGGAGAGGAGGAGGGGGAGGGAGAGGGAGAGGGAGAGGGAGAGGGAAGGACGAACGTTGAGGGTGGCGGCGTTCATCGTGGCGAAGAGGGGGAGACAGTCGGCGGTGAGCGAGAGGTGATTCGGACAACGGGGGGGACTGGTGGCGCAGGCACCGGGAGAGGAGCGCCGGCACCATGGTCAATTTTCTTGGCCCCGGCCCGGTGCCCACACACGCCCCCGGGGGGGACCCCCCCCGGCCCAACCCGGCCCTAGACGCGCGGGCGACAGAGGAGGAACACGCCCCCCCCCCCCCCCCCCCCCCGCCAGCCGAGGGGAAAGAAAGAGGGACCAGGGCAAAAACCCACCCCGGCGCCCGTGCCGCCGCCGCCGCCCCCGCCGCCCCC